AATCCTACTTTAATTAAAAATTTCTTAAGATAATATGGGGTAGGATTTTTTAGTAATCACGTTTCTTATAAAGTTTATTGCTATATGTTAACTCTTATCATTCTTTTCTCAAAAATTTCATGAAGTTGTTTTTATCATTTTGTGAATATGTTTTTTTTTTTAACATATGTAGTCGAAAGCTTCTTGGACAGTGTGCCGCATTTTTTATTTATATTTTGCTCACAGCTAAGAATGTGATAGGTACTCTTAAAACAATTTTTACTTATTTCAATCAATTTATGTTTTTGTACTGGGGATTAAACCCAGGGGCACTTTACCACCGAGCTACATTCCTAACCCTCTAGCTATATTGCTTAGGGTTTCACTAAATTGTTAGGCTAGCCTGAAACTTGTGATTAAGGTGTGCACTTTAATGCGTGGCCCCTCTTTTTGTAGTTACATTAGCTTATAGGTAATTAAGTGAGTTTATTTCTACCAAAGCACTGACAATTATGTTGTTTTTGCTACTTGAGAATTTGAAATTTACTATGGCAAATAATTCACAACCAAAATAAAAAATTTATGAAAAAAAATTGCTATCATTCACTAGATGTAGTATAAGAACATTAAATTCAACTGTCAGACTTTGAATTTCTTATCTTTTCTGCAAAGTATTACTTTCTAGTATTTCCTGTCCTGATTAAATAAGTGGTTTTCTCTCATTTCTGTCTTCAGGCCCCCATAATATTCTACCTTAACTCTCCCTTCTTTTCCACCTCTTACTTTGTTCTTTGGTCTTTGTTCTCCTTATGGAGGCTTGGGCATCATTCCAAGTAGTTTTGCTTCAATCTCATCTGTGCTTTAACCCAGCCTTCACTGACATGGTTTGATTTCAGCAAATAGATCTAATTGCATCAATTTCTAGTTTAAAACTTTCAATTATTATTCTAGTTTAAAGCTTCTCTAATCTCTTCCCAACTCCTTAGCATGATATACAAGCCTGGTCTCTACAGTCTCTGCTTTTCCCACATGTACTGTTTTGCCCAGTTAAATTTCTCCAACATACCATTTTGTTTTCAGCGTCTTTGCCTTTTTATGTGCTAGCCCTTTTATTAAATTATCTTCCTCTCTATTAGCTGTTACTACACCATCTTTATACTTTATGCCCCTATTCAAAGTGCGTCTTTCTGCTGGGGAATTCTCAAACTCCTCCCACACCCCAGCATTTGGTGGTTATCATTGTACCTTAAACATAACCCCATTTTTGCCTCAGCACATTGTGCTGTGGTTTAACTGGACTTTTTGAAGACAGATTTCATATCCTTTATTCATCTTTATTTCCCTGGCAAGTAACAGAAGCTCAGGAAGAGAAATAAATAGTAACACACATGGGCATCAGAACCAATTAACATTAACAGACACCAAGAAATAAGAAAATATTCTTTTTTTTTTAAGAGAGAGAATTTTTTTAATATTTATTTTTAAATTTTCGGTGGACACAACATCTTTATTTTATTTTTTTTTTAATGTGGTGCTGAGGATCGAACCCAGCGCCCTGCGCATGTCAGGTAAGCGCGCTACCACTTGAGCCACATTCCTAGCCCAGAAAATATTCTTATTTTTGAGAAAGATATAAGTTCTCTGAATTGTTTGATATTTGCCTCTTGACTTTATTAACAATTTTGATTTTTAAACTAGGAAAAATGAGCACCTAAAACATCAAAGAGTGAGTAAACAATCCTAAAGTGAAAGAGTTTTGAATCATCAAATCTTTATTATTTGGTATGGAAAAGGTTTTGAGAATACCAGTTTCATTTGAGATTCTTCCATTTATAAATAAAGTGGCAGATCTAGGCTTAAGACATGATAAAATACAATCTAAAAGCCTTTCTAATTCTTCAGAGAGCCATTAGCTAGAAAAGGCTATTAAAGATTCATCAGAATTCAACACAGTGTTTTCTGACAGTTTACCCAAGGGGTTCCTGAATACACTTGGAGGACTTATGTATCAAACAACTAGGAATTGATATAGACCAAATCCCTTTGCTTTTTGATTCCACAAAATCTGGCAATAATAGTCAATAAAGTTCCTTCAGAGTCTGCTAGGAATTACAAGAGACAAAATGAACTGCCAAGGTTAGAAGCCAAGTGGGCCCAATGAAGGTTTGAAATTCAAGAGTGACATTTTTAATTGAACATGGTGATTATATCTTAAAAGAAGAATTGTTGTCATCATCACATAAAATTCTTATTCGTGATTATCATTAGTTCTTTAGTGAAGTATTTGCATTTATTATACTTAAATTACTTTAGTTACATTTAAAGAACTATAATGAAGTTTTCTTTGTCAATAAACCTAAATATAAAAGGTAATGTTTTTGCAAACTACATTTGAGGGAAAACCCACATCTAGTTTATACCCAGTTCTAAGTGCTTATTGTAATTGCTGATAAACACACACATGCACACACCTCAGTAAATGATCAGCTATAGATGACTTCTAGAGGTTGTCATAAGATTTGGCAGGGTAATCTATTCTGTGTAGTCTTGAACAGTTTGGATCATTTGATCCATTAAATGACTGAATACCAATTTAGATGGGATGGGGCACTTTAGCTGTCTTATTGTTTTTATTCTATCTGTATGTGAAATATAATACTAGTTCTGTTTGCTCTTTAAAGAAATAGCATTTTCCTTGAAAGAACAAAGATCGGTTTATGGATTTTTAGAAATTAATATTCTGCTTGACTTTTGAACATTACCATTGCCTGTGTTTTCCAGTTTTGTTTTTAAGGAAGTAAAACAATTTATTGGTCTTGTATGAATTATAATCCTAATTTGATAGATTTAATGTTTGACAAATATTAATGTTCAGAATTTATAAGCTTTTAATGTTAAATTTAAGATGTTGGTAGAATATGTGGAAATATTTAGCATGTATTTAGAAGTATGGATCTTAAGAATCAGGAAGTTAGGACTTAGGGATAAATATGGAGTCATCTGTGCATAGTATTAGTTCAAAATGTAGAAGTAAATGAGATTACTTGGGGAAAGGAGTAGAAGGGAGCAGATAGATGAGAGTCCACATTTGAGGGGTGAAGGAACATATGGAACTCTACAAGAAAATTTTAAAAGGAGCAAAGAAATCAGAGAACTAGAATAGATTGAGTCACTAATATTAAGAAAAGAGTTTCAGAAAAGAAAGGAACCTGACCAAGCACCAGATAGAAATAATCCTACATGTGGTGTTAGTCTTTAGAGCTAGATGAAGATAAAGAGTATCTGAAAAGACAGTATAGGCCTTTGGGGGCATACAATTCAACATATAAGAGTAAAACTTCTGTTTGTCTGGCACAGTGGCACACGCCTGTTTTCCCATCTGCTCAGGAGATTGAGGCAGGAGGAGCACGAGTTTGAGGAAGGACTGGGCATGTAGCTCAGTGATAGTGTACCTCTGGGTTCAATTCCCAGTACTTTAAGAAACTTTTGTCAAGGTCCAGGTGTTTTTTGTTTGTTTTTAAAGAGTAATTCAATCATGCTAAGTTTATGAGATTTAGTACCTGTCACATTAGTCAGAATGTGTTGTCATGGTGAATGAAAAGGACTGAACTCAGAATCTTGAATCCCAAGCTCTTCATTATTTTAACTGTGTAACCATTCAGTCATCGAATAGGATAGAGAGATTTGTAAACGGATAAATTATAATCAGATTGGTAGCTGTTATATTGAATATGATTAAAAATGTTTGAGCAAATCAGTTAAGTCTTTTGGGGCTCAGTTTCTTCACCTATAAAAATATTTTTTTTTAAATTTATTTTTTTTATTGGTTGTTCAAAACATTATAAAGCTATTGACATATCATATTTCATACAATAGATTCAAGTTGGTTTATAAAAATATTTTAAAAAATAGTTTAAAACCTCATTCTCTATATAGTACCCCCTCATGCAATTCTGAATTGTTAGATTGCTATTTGCCTACAAAATATTTGCCTTAAAAAAGTATGTGCAGTGCATATGTATATATTTTAACATGTTTTTAAAAATTCTTTATATGGTACACTTCTTATAACTATTATCCCTTACCCATGGTTGTCATCCTTTCAGCTAATGAAGTACAGACAGCAGACCATCTTCAATGCCCTTGACCAGTGTGTATTGTGCACTTTCTTCTATTAAGTCCTCTACCACCCTCTGAAGTATTAAGCATGTCTTAAAACATGTATTATTTATCTCAGGGACTGTTTTTTCTTGCCATTTATTTATTTTGGCTCACAGTGAGTGATAAAGAAAAGGCGGCCTTTGTACTAGCTATTAAAATGCAAGCTTTATAAAAAGAAAGTGAAGATTATTAGGCCACCAGTCTTCCTACATGGAATGGACAAAGTCCGAAATTGTCAAAGTGTACATTTTGTGTCCTTTGATAGAGGGTGACTCTGTGTTCACAAATATTTATCAAAGGTGTACTGTGTGAGCTCTGTGTAGTGTTAAATACTGGAGATAAATTAGTAGATGTGATTATACATACACAAACACACACACACACACATATATACATAATATATATCTCCTCTTGGATTTTATCGTTTAGTAGGAAAGATAAAGTTAAATAAGGGACAGAGACCCACAGGAGGCCAATTTTGCTCAAGCAGAATGTTGAATAAATGCTCTGGTTCCGACAAAAAAAAAAAAAAAAAAAATCACAAACAGCATCTTTTATCATCACCTCAGTCTCTCCTTCATCTCATTCCTGCATCTCATTGCAACTGTGGTATAAGTAAAAACATTGATATTATACAGTTAGGTAGCAGGATTTCCAAAGCATGTTATTGGCATATATGGTAAATGTGGCTAGGGAGAATGGAGGTTGAGCATGCCTGACTTTTGGGTCAGTAATATCCAGTTTGTCTTTGTAGGCTAGTTCACATTTAAATTAAAAAGAATATATATATAATTTTTTTCTTTTGTTTTAATTAGATAAACCAAACCGACATCTTAATTACTTCGCTTTTTGTTTAATAGGTCCAGGGACAAGTTCATCCGACTCTTGAGTCTAATGATGATGCTCTCCAGTATGTTGAAGAATTAATCTTGCAGTTATTAAATATGCTATGCCAAGCTCAGCCCCGAAGTGCTTCAGATGTAGAGGTATGACAAAATTAGCCTCATATTTACTTTAGATATATCGAATGTGTATGCCTTTTGTAATATCAGTAAAGGCAAAAAGAATGTGCTCTTCAATTCCAGAAAATATACGTTCAATATATATGAAAATCAAGACTGGATATCTTTAAACTTTGTGTTGGGTATATGTATATGATAGCTTTTATATTTTAGCTGTGATACTATTCCATATTTTACTTTTCAACTAAAACAGTTTTGTGATGCTAGCTAGCATTTCAAAAACATTTCCATTAGTTTCAGTAATGAGCTCAGAGAATTGGTAACACTAAAATATCTGAACAAGAGTAGTAGAATAGATTGGAAACAGAGTTGTATGAATTTACGATTTCATGGTAACATAGTTACAAAACAGAATATGGTCACTTGGTGGTGGCTGTACTAAAGGTGAAGATGAGTTGTTTAAAAGAATTAAGAGTTCATGCCCCACACAGTGGTGCATGCCTGTAATCCCAACGGCTTGGGAGGCTGAGGCAGGAGGTTAACGAGTTCACAGCCACCCTCCACAAAAGTGAGACCCTAAGCAACTCAGTGACACCCTGTCTCTAAATAAAATACAAAATAGGGCTGGGGATATGGCTCAAAGGTCGAGTGCCCCTGAGTTAAATCCCTGGTACAACCTCTCACCCTCCTGCCCCCGCCAAAAAAAAAAAAAAAAAAAAAAAAAAGAGAGAGAGAGAGAGAAGGTCAGAAGAGTATTTTCTGTGACCTTAATGTAAGCAATAAAGCTGCACAGGAATCTGGTACAAGAGTGTGAAAGAATGATGTTTCAGAAGCAGTTGATGAAATCTTGCATGCAGGCTGTGGGGCTAAGGCAGTTCCTGCTCTAGAAATCTTCCTAGGGGATCCAGATTTCAACTGGGACAAAGTATCAAGGAACATTGAATTACAGATGTTGTGGATATAGTGAAGGTAGTGTACTGCAGTGTAGTAATTCACTTTAATTTTTAGGGAATCCAGGGTAGGTTTCTTACATTAAATTTATACCCTTTTTTATTGAAATCAAATCAAATTATGTATATCTTTTATTTATAATTGGCTTTGGATAAGTGTTTACATTGGGGTTCACAAAATGGATCTTAAATAGAACTGGTTCCCTGACTCTGCTTCTCATTAACAATTCCAACTGCTCTTTTGGATTCTAGTTAGGTTCCCCCACAGTGTTTATAAAATGCAGCTTCCAACCGAATGTCTAATGTATTAGAATGGAGATACAAATCTCATCTTGTTTATTATCCTTATGTTTATTATCTTGTTTATTATCCTGATGTACATTTCAGGCATTTGATAGTCTGTTGACATTGTATTTATACTTATCAATTTTATCCTTTTAATTAACATAGAAACTAATACATTATTTGCCAATATTGAAGGAAATCTCTGTGGGTTTTCAGAAGTAACTAAAAGTCTCTCAATCTTCCACTTGTATAGATTTAATCAATATGTAGATTCAAGATTGAATAAAAGATATTTCATAGATTTTTAATATTCTTAGAGATTCTGAGACATCAAAGATATTTATCCTTTTCCTTGCCTTATTATTTTTAAATACTTTGCCTGAGCCTTTAAAATAGAGGTAGCCATATGGAATTCCAGCAAGTTGGCTTTAGGGCTAGGGATGGTTTTCTTTTCTTTCTTTCCTTTTCTTTTCTTTCCTTTCCTTTTCTTTTTTTTTTTTTTTAAGTGTTTGTAACAGTGTAACAGTAATAGAAATACCAATCAGTTATCTATTGGGCTTGATAATTTCAAAGTACTGTCAAATAAATTTTTGTCCTTACAATAACCTTGTGGGCTATTTACTGTTCTCCTCATACTATGTTTGGGAAAACTGACCCTCAGAATAGATAGAAATGATTGATTATTTTTTTATATTAATTGTATAATACCCTGTACCAGCCTTGGAAGGGTATTTAGATAAGAATAAAGAATGTGGAGATGAGGGCTGGGGATGTAGCTCAGTTGGTAAAGTGCTTGTCTCCCATGCACAAGGCCCTAGGTATGATCTCCAGCACCACTCCAAAAAAGAAAAAAAAAAAAAATGTGGAGATGAGATAGAGAAATGAGTAAATGCTGTCTCAGTATGTTGAGGCTGCTGTAGCAATATACCTTAGACTGGCTAATTTATAAACAGCATATGTTTTCTTATTTTGTTTATTTTTAAAAATAGCATAAGTTTATTACTCATAGTTCTGGAGGTTGAGAAGTTCAAAATCAAGGCACCAGATGATATGGTCTTGTTTTCTACATATGTGTCCTTACATGGGTGAATGGGTGAATGGGGCAGGGGCTGGGGGGGATTCCTCAAGTCTCTTTTATGAAGGAACTAATTCCATTCACGAGGACAGAGTCCTTAAAACCAAGTCACCTTATAAAGGCCCCACTTTTTAATACCACCACAGTGGGTATTAAGATTTCAACATGAATTTGTTAGGGACAAGACATTCAAAACTAGCAAATTGTGTCTTAGATTCTTTTGTTAAGAAATAATCTTCCATTTTCCTTATTCAAAGTAATAAGGTCCCTAAACTTAGCAAACTCTTCAAATATATTTAAGGTGACCCCCCCCCCCCCCAAAAAAAAAAATTAAATCTATTCAGAATTTCGAGCTGGAGTTCAACTTCTGTTGTTTTCTACTGCTTTTCTACCCATGACCCATTAATAAGTCATAAAATCACTTTAGAGCATTGCCCAACCAACATTTTTTAAAATAGAAAAGACCAGTGTACTTTATATAAAAAGGGCAGATTTTGTTTGTGAAACTTTGTTTCAGTTGAGTAAATATGTATAACATGTAAGGGCATTTTATTTCTTACACTGAATTAAATTTTTAAAAAAAAGTGTTAGAAAGCCACAAGGTCACACACTATTATTAGGTTTCTACCATAGATACACCTAGTTGGTTTAACCATGGGATAAACCTTTCAATGTAAACATCTTAATAGAAATCCATGGTCTGGGAATGTAGCTCAGTGGCAGAATACTTGCCTACCCTGGGTTGAATACCTAGTAACAAAAACGGAAAACAAAAACAAAAAACCTGATCTTGTCATTTTGGGATTAACAAATCCATAGAATTAACTTGGACAAAGGAAATCATTTATTTGTTTAACAAAATAGAATGCATTTTGACACATTATATACAAATGAGGTAATTTTTGTTTTGCATGTTCCTTTCTACCCTAGTCTCTCCTTTATCATCTGCCCTTGCTCCACCAGAATTTTGAACCTTTGAATGGCCTTTACTACATGAGGCTAGCATCCTGGCAAACAGGTTTTCAACTACATAGTTGGAAAATTTGTTAACTCCATTTTTAACTACAGTGATTTCTTTAGATACATTTCTGATTTCATTAATTAGAATATAAATAATCATTTTGCAATTCAGCAACTGATTTAGCCTAAGGCTGGCTGTGAATTTGAACAAAGATTTGCTTATGTCCTGTCATTTCTTCCAGCCCCTTCCCCACCTCCCAGATTATCACATGGCAATCTTTCTTTTATTTTCCATTTAACAGCAACTGATAAGACTTTTTTTCAGGTTTATAATCATAGTCATTTCATCCAGCAGTTTTCACACACTACCAATACTAGTTGAGTACTAGGAATTTAAAATGTTAAAAGTTGTGCAATAGTGACCTCTACTGGTTATAATCATGGTATCCTGCAAGTGGGTTTTAAAAACTTGCTAGAATGAAAGTACTTTCTGTTTAAAGTGAAGTATGAATCACATTGTCTCTTAAGGTAAGGGAATTCAGCCATTATAGTATTTTGAGTTCTTATATTTTCAGTGAAATTGTAACTGAATAACTGCTGGAAATTAAATTGAAGTTTGTTTGTTCATTTGTCTCAGAGATTGAACCCCGGAGTGCTTAACCATTGAGCCATATCCTTAGCTGTTTTTGCTTTTTATTCTGAGACAGGGCCTCACTAAGTTTCTGAGGCTGGCTTTGAACTTGAAATTCTTCTGCCTCAGTCTCCTGAGCCACTGGGATTACAGGCATGTGCCCAGCTTAAATTGAAGTATTTTGCTAAAAATCAATAACCTATGGAGGACCTTACTCTAAAGATAAACTGCCATGTATTAAAATTGTAGATACCAATGTAAATCATTGATTTCTTTGATTTGTAAATAATTTGAGGGTTGAGTACTTTTACACGATGGATAAAGAAAAAAATTTTTGAGGCTTCAATTGCAAAATGCTATTTGAGCTTGTAATTGGTGTTGAAAAGTAAGGACAAGTAAATGAAAATTTAATTTAAGATATTTGCTTTTTGAGCTTAGGTCTTGTTCTTGCTTGAAATTATAAAAGTTATGTTTAAAGCAGCTTCTACTCATTCTGGTAATTAACTTTATCACAATTAAGTTGGGATTCAGAATATTATTATCTTCCCTAGATAATAGAAAGAATGTTCCATTTTTTAGTCAACAAAGAAACTAATATATTGACAATTATGGTTTTTTTTCTTAGCTTAAGTGTGTTTGTAATATAAATTACACAACATGTGGAAAATTCTTTGATATTATTTGATTTTAAAAGTAAATTTTAAGTGAAGGTCACTGTTTGGTTTATTTGATGCTTAGTTGTTATTTTCCTATTTTCTAAGGAACGTGTTCAAAAAAGTTTCCCTCATCCAATTGATAAATGGGCAATAGCTGATGCTCAATCAGCTATAGAAAAGAGGAAGCGAAGAAACCCTTTATCTCTCCCAGTAGAAAAAATTCATCCTTTATTAAAGGTAAAGATGAAACACTGCCTTCTTCCCTTTGAAAAGCAAAATAAAAACCACCATTTTCAAACACTAAGAATGTTTAACTGAAGAGTAAAATTCTCTCATTTTAAGTCTTCCAGGGATTCATGTGATGGGGAGGGATGCTATGATAAGTCTAAATTGAACAACATGATTTAAGGTAATTTCATACCTTAAAGTAATTATCAATCAAATTGAAAGACTAAGAAAAGTTATTATTGTGGATTTTGTTTCCAGGTGTTATAAGAACTGCAAAGAAAATTTATAAAATTCCACCTTTCTTGTTGTTTAGAGCTAAGTTTCCATATAAATAATTTAGAAATTAATATTTTGTACAGGAAATTGTGTGAGACTTCAATAAGACTCTGTCTAATCTTTGAACAACAACAACAAAAAATCCTGAGTATCACCTAAACTAGCCAATTCAACTTGCTGTTTACATCAGTTTAATCTCTCCAGAACTAATGGAAAGAATGACTGCTACAAACCCTAATAATTCTCTTTCTGTTCTGTTTAATACAATGAACAAACTATTGACTAACTTATAAAAAAAAAGTATAAGAATTAAAACCTTAATACTTTTAAATATCAATAATTTTGCATACACTATAATACAGGCAAAATGCTAATGCTTACTTGTATTGTCTCTGAGTTTTATTACTCAAGAAAACTATTGTCATTATTTCCAGTTTGTAATGAGAGAAAGTATCTAACTCCCTGGTTCAAATCCATAAGACTCAAAGTGATAGTGTTAAATAGATCTTCTTAATATTATACATAAATGTAAGGCTTACTACTTTGATAATATTTAAGACTATCAAATGGCATTTTTGTCTTTGGTGGCTGAATAGAAATAGCTGCCTTTGTCTTATTGACTGTTTTGACTGAGGAAATGTGCATGGAAAATTACTAAATTATTAATAATTGCATATTTCTTTGTAATTCCTTTTTTAAGATTTTCATCAGCCATACATTGACTTATAGTCAGAAAGAATCAATAAATTGAGATATGTACATACTATTAATAATCATAAATTTTGAGTTTTGTAATCTAATTGTGGATATTATTTCAAGTTACTGGTAAATCTTTACCATGATACATTTAATAGTTTTTATATATCCCAAATGGTAAATGCAGCCTGCCCACAACTTATAGTAGACTTATTTCAAAGTTTTTCTCCCCCTTAATTGGATTGTTTGGAATTTGCTCTCCTACAAGGAGAACAAAAGACCTATAAAAGACCATACTCTTTGAAGTCTAATAATAGAACTATTTAATGTGCTCTTAGTAACTACCGTTGTGCAGTGGGACAGAGCACTTTTTTTTTTTTTTTTCATAGGAACAGCCAGAGAAATGTGCCATTAAGATTTGGGGGAGCCTAGGTTCCTTAGGAAAAAATAGAGGTATATGATATTTCTAGATGCCAATAATGTATTTACTCTTGTATAAAAGAGAAAACTCCGTTGTTGTAGTTACTTACAGGTATTCTTACTTGGGTAATGAAGAACATAACTGAAGAGTAAAATATACCAAACTTGAACTTTGCTTCCTAAGTTAGGGATTATATATTTAATAATGTATGCTCTTAAGTGTTTTACATGACCAGGATGATTTTGCCTTGCCTTGTCTTAGTTTACATTTTTCAGTTGTAATACATATATTTTTCATAATTGGACCATTTAAATTATAAAATAAAACATTGATAATCACAGGCCTCAAAGTTAAGCTAAAGTGCATGATTTTTAAAAATTTGTAATCAAGTGTGTTCAATTTTTAGTATATGGTGTCTAAACACATTTTTCTTTTAATTTTGCAGGAGGTCCTAGGTTATAAAATTGACCATCAGGTTTCTGTTTACATAGTAGCAGTATTAGAATACATTTCTGCAGACATTTTAAAGCTGGTGGGGAATTATGTAAGAAACATACGGCATTATGAAATTACAAAACAAGATATTAAAGTGGCAATGTGTGCTGATAAGGTAGGAAACTGAGCTTCTATATGTTTTATTTCTTAAACTTGTGTACTATATTTTGGGGAATACTTCTAGTAAATCTAGTAGCAAGAATTAGGATATCACTTTCTAGAAATATATTAGATACATAATATTAAGATGTTTTTAAACATGTAGCAATTTTTATATATTGCTGCAACTAGGGTTTATTATAGTAATAATATCTTACAGTGAATTTCTTAAAATTTAATTTGAATTGGAAGATTTAAAAGGCTATAGATTTACTTGAAAACAGTTTTTTAAAATTTGAAAGTACTAAAAGTTTTATTTCAACACTTAGTTTTCTTTAAATACTACTTGTGCAGTGTTTCAATAATATTAAGACCAAACATTTATTGAAAGTTGAGCATATACATGATTTATCTCATCTGGTCATTATGATACTCTCTAATGTAGGTAATCTTATCTGTATGACACTGTAGAAGTTCACAAGAAGGGAAAGATAAGTTTCAGGAAGACTAACAATGGTAGACTTCTTGGAGAAAACAAGGCTTGTTTTGATTCATCCCTACCAAATGTAGGAAAATAAGCCAAATATGAGAGATTGAGGCCATGGAATAAGGTGAGAATGGCAAGGGTATAGAACAGAAAACACCAAATCAGAGAAATTCGAAGTAGTATTTGGGAACAAACCAGAAGTGATAGGTTAACATGAGAGACAGATAGCTACTAGTGTTGATAAAGAACTTGGAGGAGGCATGTGTAATATTAGTAGAATTCTATTTTAGAGAAGTTTTGAGGGGTTATAGCAATATATCCATAAAGATGCAGTTATATACCAGATTGTTTTTTTAGTCATTTAAGAACTTTATTCACAGAACTTTAGGGCATTTACCTTCAAATTTGACTGTAGATTCACATTTATACTTTATATATCTCTAACTATATAGGTATTGATGGATATGTTTCATCAAGATGTAGAAGATATAAATGTATTATCTTTAACTGATGAAGAGCCTTCCACTTCAGGAGAACAAACTTACTATGATTTGGTAAAAGCATTTATGGCAGAAATTCGACAATATATAAGGGAACTAAATCTAATTATAAAAGTTTTTAGAGAGCCCTTTGTCTCCAATTCCAAATTGTTTTCAGCTAATGTAAGTATATTGTGTATATATATGTCTATCATTATATGACAACCTTGAATTTGAATTTGTCTAGTTCACACTAATTTGCCAATATTTTTAAGCTGTTGGACTTAATTTATGATCACAAATAAAATGCTACAAGTTTTAAGAGATCACATATCACATATTAAAAGAAAATATAAAAAGCAGACTGATTATATAAGTTAAAATGAATTCAGAATCTTTGATACACACCAAGCAATAAAGCCTCTTGTCTAGGTAGAAGATATTTTTGCTTTATTTGGCCAACTTGAGTCATTTAATAAATATTTCATTGATACCAACTGTGTTGTCAGGTACCATACTTAGCAGTGGAGATTCAAAGATAAATAAGAAACAGTTTGTTCCCTCAAGTTAAGACAGAGATGTAAATTTAAAATTAAATTGCAATACAGTGTGTAGTAACTATGATAGAAGTGTGACAGCAGTATTATTGAGAGCACAAAAAATGGAACCAGTAACATTGACACTCAGATAAAGCATTGCTGGTGTTATAATAGTAATCAAACTAACCTAATTGGGACCTAAGGAAATGCTGATTGACAGCAAGTGAGGTTGTCTAAGGGAGTTACATACTAGTAATTCCTAAAGCTACTCAGTCACAGGTGACTGATGGAGAAACAGTGCTTACTATGGAAACTGTGAGTAAACATTAAAAAAAAATAAAAGAACAAGGGTGGGGGTGTAGCTTAGTGGTAGAGTGCTTGCCTAGTATGTGTGAGGTCCTGGGTTTAATCTTGAGCAACACACACAATAGTAATAAATAATAAGGAATAGGTTATAGTGTTAGTTGTGCAAATCTGTAGATTATTAAAAAAAACACATTGAATTACCCACTTTAGATGGATGAATTACATGGTATTCAAATTATCTTTCAATAAAGTTGCTTTTAAAAACGAGTAAAGGTGCTGGAATGCAATAGCACACACCTGTAATTCCAGCTATTTGAGAAGCTGAGGCAGGAGGATTACAAGGTCAAAGCCAACCTCAGCAACTTAGTGAGCCCCTATTTAAAAATAAAAAACAAAAAGGGCCCAGGATATAGTTCAGTGGAATGCCCTTGGGCTCAATCCCTAGTACTGTAAGTAAAAAATAAATAAGTAGTTTTAAAAAATAACAGTAAAGGAAAGGCAAAGATGTTTTAGGACACAAACATTAAGAACTAGAAATGGTCAATATCAATAATCATCTAAGAAATGCACATTAAAACCACAATGAGGGGCTGGGGTTGTGGCTCAGTGGTAGAGCGCTCGCCTTGCACGTGAGAGACCCTGGGTTTGATCCTCAGCACCACATAAAAATAAATAAACAAAATAAAGATATTCAAAAGAAAACACAATGAGCTGCCACTATACACTCATTAGAAAGACTTAAAAAAAAAGACAATATCAAATACTGAAAAGGATGTGGCACACCTATTTGTGGGAACATAAAGTTCCCATATTACTTTTGAGATGTAAATAAGTATAAATATTTTGGAAAAAAGTTTGACAGTTTTGTATAATAATAAGCATAAACCACCCATATTATCTAGTAATTCTACTTCTAAGTTTTGTCCTGAAAAAATAAAAACATGTTCATATAACACTTGTTCACAAATGTTCCTAGCAGTTTTGTTTTTGCCCCAAACTAGAAACAACCCAAGTGTCGATCAGAGTTGAATGGAGTGGACTGGCATTGTAGCTAAGGAGTAGAGTGCTTGCCTAGCATGTATGGAGCACTGGGTTCGATACTTAGTATCACATAAAAATAAAAACAAAATAAAGGCATGCTGTCCATCCATAACTACAAAATAAATAAATGAATAAATATATAAATAAGTTGAGTGGATATACAAAGTGTGACATGTCCATGTGGTGGAATGATGCTCAGTAATGAAAAGGTATGAAGTACTTATACACATAGCAGCGTGGAACAAAGAAATTAGACATAAGGGCTGGGGTTGTAGCTCAGTGGTAAAGCACTTGCCTAACATGTGTGAGGCACTCGGTTTGATTCTCAGCACCACATATAAATTAATGAAATAAAGGTCCAAAACAACTAAAAAAAAAAAAAAAGAAGAAACTAGACATAAAAGACTAGATATGATTCCATTTATTTCATATTCTAGAAAAGGTACTTTTCTAGTGATGAAAAGAAGATTATGGGTTCCCTGGGAGTGAGAATAGTGAAAATTGATGGGAATGAGGAATACAGAAACTTCTTAAGGCAATGAAAATGTTACATATCTTGAATAAGATGGTAGTTATAAGAATGAATACATAAATCTCACCAAAAAGTACATTAAAATAGGTATATCTTACTGTATATAAGTCATATCTCAAAGTTAATTTGACAAAATATAGTCACTGATAAAAATAATCAAAAAATAGTAACCAGTGGATTTTAGTGTAATCATACAAAATTGATTCCACATTGCATCTAACCTTTAAGAAACTATCATTCGGGGCCTGGGGCTGTAGTTCAGTGGTAGAGCATTTGCCTAGCATGTGTGAGGCGCTGGGTTTGATCCTCAGCATCACATAAAAAGAAATAAATAAAATAAAGGTCCATCTACAACTAAAAAAAAAAAACAAAACAAAACTACCACTCATTAAATTTTGGTGTAGGGCCATAAAAGGATGTTATTTATGGGAAATGTCTAGAATAGGCAAATCCATAGAGATAGAAAGTAGAATAGAGGTTGACAAGGGCTGGGAAAAGAGCAGAATGGAGAATAATTGTTAATAGGTTTACAGTGTCTCTCTGAGGTAATGAAATGTTCCAGGATTTGATAATGTGATTATACAACTCTGTAAATACACTGAAAACTGTCAATATCATAAGCATGTTTCATAAGGGTAAATTTTGTGGTATATGAGGTACATCTCAATAAAAAATTATGAAGAATCTTTACAAAAGAATACCTAACAGTTATTTGAGTAGACTATTATTCTCCCTTTCCTAATATGTATCTGTATAGCTAGATTTTCTTCATGCATTTCAACCAAAATAATGTATCCCAACAGATTGAATGGCAAGAAATGATAGAAAAATCCTGCTCTCTTCTATTAAACTACTTGTTAGATTTGCAAAAATGTAATGTGATACCATTTTATACTAAATATTTCCTTTTTGTTATTTTAGAAAAACAGTTGCTTTTCACAAAATGTTACTTATGTTATCATGTAGTGAGTTCATTTTTATAAGTGAATTAAATGTTTAAACATTGTTGGTTTTAATTTCTAATATGGTAAATATTTATAGATACAAAAAAAGTCTATAAAAGTGTGGTAATTTATTAGATAATTTATGAGAGTGTGAAAGAGTCCTAAGACAAAGTTTGAGAACCATTTTTCAAGAGAAATGTATTTATTACCTGTAAATTGCAAAACAAATTATTGAGTATTTTTAATTTATAAGTCATTAGTATTTGTCAGTATATTTTCCATGTTAAGTTCTGTGATTATAAAATGACTTATAAACTCAAAATTTATCTATTGTTACACAGCCTAATTGAATTAATATATTTCTCTCCTCCCCAATAGGATGTAGAAAATATATTTAGCCGTATAGTAGATATACATGAACTTAGTGTAAAGTTACTGGGCCATATAGAAGACACTGTAGAAATGACAGATGAAGGCAGTCCCCATCCTTTAGTAGGAAGCTGCTTTGAAGACTTGGCAGAGGTAAGTACTTCAATTTTATATATAAAAAAATCTTAAAATTGTGTATATAACCCTACTTTTGCATTAAAATTGGAAATTTTAATTCTATGTCTAGCTAAAGTCCTAGATACTAACTGTTAGGACTACTTACCTGTTATTGCCCCTTCTTCATAGTGTTATTGTTAATATTTGTTTCTGTTATTTCAACAAACATACAAAAAATGGTCTCCCATTATAGAAAAGCAGATTCCATAGATGAGAGGTGCCAACGCTGACACCCAGTGGCCTATTATGAAATCTTTCAAAGCAAGAAAAGTCAATGAATCAATGAAGAACTTGGATCTGGGGTTAAATAACTTGTGTTCCACTTCAAGTTCTGCTGTTTATTAGTTGTGTAACTGTGAGCAAGTTATTTTGCTTCTTTAAACCTCTATATATTTGTAAAGTACGGGTGATGATAATATAAGAACTTGAAATTTTTGTGGAAATTGAGTATAACACAGTCAGCTACTCAATGTGTGGTAACTACATTATTATTTTGAAGAGCAGGAATGAAACTTGGGTCCAGGGCCTAGATGATTCAGAGACGGTGAGGCAGAAAATTTTGTAGCCTTTTCCTGGACTATTTCAAATGCTAAAATATATGAGTTCTAACAAATGAGCATTTGATAGTCATTCATTCTGGGTTTTCTATCTCTTGCTCTGTCCTCACTTTAAAATCTACTCTCTTTTACTATAACAGTGTTGAACTTATGGGGGGAAACTTTTAAAAAGAGATATAATACTTAATGGCTAGATTAAAGAATTCAGGTCAGATGCAGTAGTGCAAACCTGTAATCCCAGCAGCTTGGGGGCTGAAGTGGGAGGATTGCAAGTTCAAAGCCAGCCTTAGTAACTTAGCAAGGCCCTAAGCAATTCAGTGGGACCCTGTCTCTAAATAAAATACAAAATAAGGCTGGGGATGTGGCTCAGTGGTCAAGTACCCCTGAGTTCAATCCAAGGCACACCCCCCTCTCCTCCCACGAAAAAAGAATTCAGAAACAAGAAAAGAACACTACTACTACTTCTACTATTCAACATTTTCTTAGCAGTGCTACCAATGTAAGAAATAGACAAGACAAAGTTGTCCTATATGTAGTCACTATAATTGTCTACAGAACAAGTCCACAAAATTTATATATAATAATAAGAACTAGTAGGAAAGTTCAGTGTAGTGGCTAGAGAAAAAAATCAGCATATAACAATTGGTGGCATCACTGTGCTCAGTCACAATACATTGAATATATAACATTAAGGCAAAATATTTCACTTATTAAATGATCTAAGGTACTCAGTAATAAACCTAACTACATATATGCAGCAACATTGTTTAAAAAAATAATTAGGTTCATAAGGAATATCTGAATAAATGGAAACACATATCATATGTATGGATGGAAAGACTCAATTTGTAATGATGCTCATTATCTCTCAAGTAAGCTATAAATTCTGTAAATTGATCCTAAACTTTGTGTTCAATAATGAAGGGATAAAAAAAATTAATTTGGAGGAACAACAAGTTGAGGGGACTTGCCCTGTCACTTATTAAGATTTGTTACAAAGCCATAGTAAATAAGAGTGTAATATTGGTGCTGATATAGATAGTGGGACAACAGAATAAAGAGTCCTAGAAAAAAAAATGCACATTATATGTGCCAGAGATATCATTAATTGGTAGGGAAAGAACAAACAAATAACAGATGCTGTGTCAAAATTGCTTATCCTTAAGGAAAAATATTCACTTTTTATCTTACATCATTCTCAGAAAAGTTCTCAATAGATTAAAGATCCCTATGTTTATGAATTGGAAGAATCAATATTGTTAAAATGTCCATAGTACCCAAAGCAATCTATAGATTCAGTGCAATCTCTATCAAAATGATAATGACATTTTTCACAAACCTAGAAGAAACCATGCTAAAATTTATATAGCCCCCCCCCCTCCTTTACAACCCCAAATAGACAAAGCAGTCTTGAACAGAAAGAATAAAGCAGGAAGCATTACATTACTTGATTTCAAGACATACACAGAGGGCTGGGGATACAGCTCAGTATTAGAGCACTTTTGAGTAGTGTGTGCAAAGCCCCTGATTCAGTCCCCATCACTGGGTCCAGTGGTAGGGGACCCCCTAAAACTATAGTAATCAAAACAGCATGGTATTGGTATAAAAACAGACACATTCACCAGTGAAACAGAATAGAGAGCCTAGAAGTAAACCCACACATCTATAACTAATTGATCTTCAACAAAGGTGCTAAGAATATATATGGGAGAAACAGTCTTTTCAATAAGTGGTGCTGGGAAAATTGGGTGTCCATATGCAGAAGAATGAAACTGGATCCCTACTTCTTACAAAATTGAACTAAAAATGGATTAAAGGCTTACATGTAAGACCTGAAACTATGAAAGTGCCAGAAAGAAATGCAGGGAACAGCTTCAGGACATTGAAACAGGCAAGGATTTTTTGGATAAGACCTCAAAAGTGCAGGAAACAAAAGTAAAAATAGGCAAATGGGAGAAAATATTTCTAGCTATACATTTGATATGGACTTAATATCCAAAATACATAAGTAACTCAAACAACTCATAACCACCACCATCCCCAAAAAAGTCAAAAAAACTGTTTTAAAAATTGACACTTGGCAAATAGACTTTTCTCAGAAGACACATGAATGGCCAACAAGTCATGTGAAAAAATGTTCAACATGACTAATTATCATGGAAATGCAAATCAAAACCACAATGAGATATCATCTCATTCCAGCTAGAATGGCTGCTACCAAAAAGACAAAATATAACAAGTGCTAGGAGAAGGTAGAAAAAAGGGAATCCTAATACACTGTTGGTGGGAATGTAAATTAATACTCTTCATTAGGGTGCAAAAAATATGGAGGTTCCTCAGAAAATTAAAAATAGAACTATATGATCCAGCAATTCCATTCCTGGATAAATATCTAAAGGAAATGAAATCAGCATGTTGAAGGACATCTACACTATCATGTTTATTTAAGCACTGTTTGGTAGTGCCAAATATTGGCAATGAAGTGGTCAATTGTCAAGTCACTACTGATGAGTGTATAAGTTGATACTACTAGTTAGAAAGCAACTTCCCCCTCTAGTTATATGCTTTAAAAATATGCATATGAGCATAATAAGATATCTAAAGTATTTATTACAGAACTATTTATAATTGTGAAAAATGGGATATTATTTGAATCACTTTTAATAGAGAATAGATTAAGGTGATGTAATCATAAAGTAGAATATTATAGAGTTTTAAAATAAATTAATTAGAAGGAAGTACATGAATCAGAATGGATAAATCCTGATAATAACTTTGAGTATAGAAAGCAGCTTGCTGAAGAACATATATTATGATATGTATGTGAAGTTTGAAAGCTTGAAAAATAATTCATTGCTTTTGTTCTTAATATATATGTAATTATAATTCCTTTCGTTCTTGATACATATGTAATTGTAATATAAAAACCTATATGGGAAGGTTTATCAAATCCAGGATAGTGAATACTTGTGGGGATCAGCAAAGAGGGATGTAGACTTGTGAAAGGGAGCCTAAGGGATTTACAAATTTATCTCTAAGAATGAATATATGTGATGAGAGTTTGGATTCCTAGTGACTCGTCCATTTTTTTCTCTCTTGAGCTCAGTTAGCTGTTTTAGAATAATCCTGGCTACCGTTAGTTCAGAGCTTATTTTGTGCAAGACTGTATAAGTGCTTTACATAGATATCTCATTTAAGTCTTAAAACAACCCTGTGAAGTTGGTATTATCCACATCTTCCAATGAGGGATCATTCTTACAGTAAATAGTTTGTTGAAGGACACACAGCTAGTAAGTAATCAGAATTGGAACCTAGGTCATTATGACTCCAAAGCTTATGTTTTTAAACCACTACACTATGTAAAGTCTTTCTTTTGTTTATAAAGTTACTGGGAATTTTTGTAATACCATGGGGCTTTATTGAGAGGGAAGGAAGGCAAACATAACTATTGTATACCATAATTTCTAGCAGTTCAAAGAAACCCAAGGTCTAATCAGAACTTCATTTCTTGTTCCTATCCACTCTATTCATTTTTAACTCCTTTCTGTTAATGTTGACACCTTACTAAACATTTCTATAAAATATATAATGAACTGCAGTTTCTGGTATTTTTACAGAAATGTTTAGTTGAAGGAATTAAGAAGTGAACTTAAGATGCTGCTGTAGGAATCCAGAATGACTTGGAACTTTATATGTCATATTGCATTTCACAAATCTTCTGATTTCTGATCTGGTGTTATTCTGGTACTTACTGTTATTACTATCTTTCCTTAAAAAGCAATTTTTTTTTCCTTAAAAAGCAATCTGAGCTGGGTGCAGGAATGCATGCCTATAATTCCAGTGGCTTGGGAAACTGAGGCAGGAGGATCATGAGTTCAAATCCACCCTCAGCGACTTAGCAAGGCCCTGACAACTAAGCGAGATTCTGTTCTAAATAAAATATAAAAAAGGGAAGGGGATATGTCACAGTGGTTAAGCACCCTGGGTTCAATCCCTGGTACAAAAAAAAACAAAAAGCAATCTGGAAAACAACATTAAGGATGATTAATACATAAACACATTGCTTGTTTTGCCATTTCCTCCTACCTCCTTCTACTACATTGCTCCACTTATTTCTTCTTCCTCTTTCTATAATTACCCTTTGTGGAAATGAGCTCTTATGAGAATCTAGAGCACCATTTTCATAGTAGATTTAGACCTGGAATAGTGGATAGAATGGAAGATGGAAATTTGCTGCTAAAATCAAGTTTCTTACTCTCTTTTTTTCCTCAGGAAACATTGATACTCTTTAGACCTAACTGTTAGAATTTAGTTTATTGATGACTAGCAATTTAGAAATAATGGTAAAATTTTTTTGGCAGTGGGTTAAATTGTTTAATGAAAGCTATAACAGTATATTTTAGGTAATAGAAACTGTTTTCTTTGTGTCTAACACAAAGAAAAACTATGAAAAAATAAGTTTTTGGCATCAGTAAACATTTATGCCTTATCTAGTTATTGTTATCTGTATTCTTTGTTGTTCAAGCTAAGCTTTCTTTGTTTTCCAGAGAACCAAGTCCTACTTTTTGCCCCTCTTAATACTGTAAGGAATCCTTTAATGAGCGGTGCCACAACATATGAGGGACCTCTTTGCTTATCAGAAATATTATATTTATTTTATTAAAATTATAATTAATAGTCATAATTTTTATTTAGAGGTTTAAAAAATATATACATATAATGTACTGGCATAGATAAGCTCATAATTTAATATTTTCTATTTATAGTGGTAGGGTATTTATGTTTTACCTTGGAAAAAGATTATTTATGTTTTAACTTCTTTATTTTCTAAGGAACTGGCATTTGATCCATACGAATCATATGCTCGAGATATTTTACGGCCTGGTTTTCATGATCGTTTCCTTAGTCAGTTATCAAAGCCTGGGGCAGCACTTTATTTGCAGGTACAGTAATTTTTAAATCAAGATGTATAATGTCTGAAAAGTAAACTTAGAAAAAAAAATTAAATCACTTTCTTTTCTAGTCAATAGGCGAAGGTTTCAAAGAAGCTGTTCAATATGTTTTACCCAGGCTACTTCTAGCCCCTGTTTACCACTGTCTACATTACTTTGAACTTCTGAAGGTAAGAAAATTCTAATTGATATTTATAAACTCTTCAAATGTGATGAAAAAGCTTCACATATGCTAGGCAAGCACTCTACTAAGCCACAGTCTCCATCCTGTCATATAAATTCTTTCCCATTCTATTTGTAGATATTATATGAGCATCCATGTACATTGGTGTGTATCCATTTTCTTTTTCCAGTTAAGTAAATCTGCAAAAGAGTAGCATATTTTCTCCAATTTCTATAGTAAATTTTAAAGCAATTGTTAAATATTTTTATCTTGTGCACTTTTTGCTTCTGTAGCTGATTCTTTGAAAATAACCTTGGATTTATGCTTCCAAATCTCCATTTGGTGACCTCAGCAGATTCAGGAACTTAGATAAAGGAATATTCTCAGATGTGAATAAGGCTGAAAATAATGGTGATGACTAATTCACCTAATTTTCTCAGTTCAAATTTGTAACTCTCTCTCTAAACTGCTTATCAATACTTTAGAAGCAGTGAATTTGTATAATCCCAGTAAAAATCACCCATTTGATTAGAGTTCAAAATATTAAGAAGCACAGCTCAAAAGGAAAGGGTCTGTTTTCTTTTTTCTTTTCCTGTTATGCCCTGAAATTAAGGAAAAGAAAAACCTTAGTCTGTAAAATTTAAAATTTATAGCCCAAAGTCATATTCTGTTTACTTTTAATGACCTAACCCTCAAAAGACAAAACCGATATGCATTAATATTATTATTCCCTTAAATTGGGATATAGGTATTTGCTTTCTGGATTGATGAGTTATCAGTTGCTTTCAAAGTATCTTAACACTACTATTTGTGGATAGCCCCAACTGATAGACACTTAGGAAAAGATTGGTAAGTTCAGGCAGGGTAGTACCATGTCTTTAACTCCAGCTACTCAGGAGGCTGAGGCAGGAGGATCACAGGAGACTAGTCTGGGTAACTTAGATATATAGACTCTGTTTCAAAATTAAACATTTTTAAAGAGGGCTGGGGGTGTAGCTAAAGGTAGAGCATTTCTCTAGCATGTGGGAGGCCCCAGGTTCATTCCCCAGGACTGCAAAAAGAAAAGAAAAAGACTGATAGGAACGGAGTCAATCATTTATTTACCCTGTAGCGTTTTTGTCCCCATCACTTGGTAAACTCTAAAAGAGCTTAGTTTTGACATTCACAAAGTATTTATATTTGATTTTCAAAATTTAAGTTGAAATGTAACTGGAGTTCCTGTGAATACCTTCATTAACTGTACTAGTAATGAGAAATGAGGATGTAATCAATTTTATTTGCTTGTATAATGCTTTATACAATGTTTGAAGTGGGTAGGCCTACACTTATATAAGTAGTATTTCTGTTTCTTTATGACTGCATTGAGGGAAGGAGAATCTGATCCACAATAAAATCTATCATGAATCATTTAGAGTTGACTGTTATCACTTGCTTACTGAAACATTTTTAAAGAAATGCACTTTTGTCAGAAATAAAAAATACGAAAAAGACATTATTAGTTCTTTATCTTTTAAACAAATATTTCTTTCATCAAAGAAAACTCATATATTATAATTCTGTTGTTGAGAATGTACTACTAGAAATTTATAATTTGCTGGAACAGATGATATGGGCTTTCTGTAATGAATCATTAAATGAATAGAAGATCTCTGAATTTAGTAAACTGGAGGAGCTCTCATCCTTACCTTTTGTTTCCATTTTCTAGGTTTCTTTGCCTTATAGTAATTTGGACTTAATCCACTTAAATTTCAAGTAGGAATGTTTGAACTTGGAAAGAGTTAAGGGAGCAATAAAGTAATATTTAATCACCAGGTACAATTATAAAGCTCTTAGTACTCTGTTTGAGATTGCAAACGCTTACCATTTGTAATACAGGGTGGTTATTCTAAGAAGGTAATCAAGCTTTTGGTATGAGATATTTTTTATAAAGAATTCATTATGAAAACCAGAGTCATGATGAGACACTTGTAGTTTTATTACCTAGAATCCTTCCTTGCAATGATTTCTCTGGTAGCAATTTTTACCTGAGCCTGTAATGGTGTTCTGAAGGATGCAAAGTCCATATGAAACCTCAAGGCAGTTATAATTTATAAATAAAAACAAGATGCTTCGATGAAGGTTCAGAAGTCTATAAAACCCAATCTTTTTGTTTCTTGTTTTTTGTTGAACTCAGGGGTGCTTAACCACTGAACCACATGCTCCTTTTTTTTTTAATTTTTTAGTTGTCGATGGACTTTACTTATTTATATGCAGTGCTGAGAATTGAACCCAGTACCTCACACATGTTAGGCAAACACTCTACCACTGAGCCACAGCCCCTCCTGCCCCTTTTTATTCTTTATTTTGAGACAGGGTCTCACTAAGTTCCTTAGGGCCTCCCTAAATTGTCCAGGCTGGCTTTGAATCTGTTAATCCTCCTGCCTCAACTTCCCGAGGGCTGGGGTTACAAGTATGCACCACATGCCCTGCTGAAACCCAATCATTTTAATAAGATATTACTTATTCCCCAAATACAGGCAGTTAATTGTAACTTGTGGCAACTTGCAAGATTTCTGTTAGCTTAGGGGCTTATATTCCTGATTCATATCAGTGCCTAAAGTTATATTGCAAAATTAACAGCATATAGGGCAGGAAACTTTGTCTAATCCAGATGCTGATCATTTTTTAAAATTTTTGATACCAGAGATTGAATCAGCGGTGCTTAACCACTGAGCCACATCCTCAGCCCATTTTTTATTTTGAGATAGGTTCTTGCTAAGTTACTTGGGGCCTAGCTAAGTTGCTGAGGCTTTGAATTTATGATCCTTTTGCCTCAGCCTCCTGAGCTGCTGGGATTACAGGTATGTGCCACTGTGCCTGGCTCTGATCATTCTTTTTTATGCTGAATTCTCTCAGCATTATTGTGCTGTTTATACTTTTCTTTAATTTGTTTTTGTTTTTTAACTAATTATTTTCATTTAGCAGTATTTTTTAAGTGTATTCTCTAGGATGCTAGTGTCATGAGATATTCTTTTTCCCACTTTTTCTTTGTGGTACTAGGAATTGAACCCAGGCCTTGTATATGCTAGGCAAGTGCTCTACCACCAAGCCATATCCCAGCCCTCTCATGAGATATTCTAAAGTGGGGGAGGGGGTGTTCAGTGGTCAAATATTTGGGGACTACTGCATCCTTAATTATGCTCCTAGAAATGTTCAGTGTATGTTAGAATAGTAAAAGCTTTGTAAAATTGCACAGTAAAGCAATCTAATTGTTTTTCAGCATTTCCCAAGTCAGTTACACTTGCAATCCCTTTAGAATGTGATGCTCTTATGGATGTTACTTAGGGAAACTATCATGGGGATTTTTCCATCAAATGAACTTAAAGGCCTTTCAGCTCTAAGATTTTTTTCCAACTACCTGATTCTTCCTGGTTCTCCCCCGTCCCTTTTTCAGAATTGCCATACTGCAGTTGTCAGTCTGAGCTTGGTAATTCTAGACTCAGTAATAATAGCACAAAATTGAGGCAACTAGAGGAAGGAAAACTGTAAAATATAAGTGACAGAAACTAGACACAATTTATCTATGAGTGACATGGTTTTTGAATGCTTATTAGACTATATAGAGGTCTGATATTTCTTCTTGTATTCTAGCTCAGTAGCTTACTAGCTATGTGGCTTGACTCAGGTTACTTCATTTGTGTGTGTGTGTGTGTGTGTGTCCTGCTTTCCTTATTTATGAAATGCTTATTTCATTGTCAAACACAATAATATACATAAAAATACTTCAGGGTAATTTCATCACTAGTGCTATTTCTTCTTATCCTGAAGATATGTTAAACTTAACATTTTTCTTTCACCATGTCTGTTCTTTCCTGTCTTCCCAAATCTATACTTTTTCCTTTATTTCCTATCTTTGTTGATCAGCTCAGGCCCCTTCATCAGAAGCCAACACAACATCCTTGGTTTTTCTCTTTTCCTTATTAGCAGATCCTCATGATTTGACTTCAGAAATGACCCTGGAATCCAGCCTGTTGTGTACCTTCTCACTGACAATGCCTTATTAAGCCCTCAGCATGTCTTGCCTAGACCAAGGTGGTACCTTCCTTACGTGGACTTTGTACCTCCTGGAACTCCCAGATTGAAACATGCTATTGGTTCTCTGTCACCTGTAACAAAGTCTAAATTATTTAGCTTTGTTGCAGCTATCTCTCCAACTTCATCTCTCAGTACTCTATTCTACCCACCTTCTGCTTTAGCCATAAAGAATCACTTAGCAGCTGTAAATATGCCAAATCTGTTCAGGGTTCCATTCATTTGCATGTCCTTTCCCACTCATTTACTTGTAATTCATCTTCTTCTAACCTTTTTTTTCATCTGGGAAATTCAAACAGTTCTAGAGTTGGTTCCTCTATCAAGTTTCCCTTGGTTCCCTAGGCTAATCCTTTCACCGAACTCCTTACTCTGTTCACAACTCTTTGTAGAACTTGTTCCATGTTTGTTGTCTGACTGTGTTCTGTGAGGAATGAAACCACACTCTATTATCTTTGAATTCTCATGCCTAGCACAGTGTCTGGTATTTATACTTTCAGTAAATTCTTGTTAAAAAACGAATGCAAATATATGTTTTTCTTAGAATTCTTATAAATGTATTATATTTTAAAAGAAGGTTAACTGTAAAATTTATCTAATTACCTTTACTTGGGGAAGTGAACTTTACAAGTTCAAAAGATAAAGTCTAGCTGTTAACAGTATAAGACTTTTGAACTTCATATAAACAGTAAAACAGTTCTAAGGCTGGGTGGAAAGAGGATTCAGATGTTTGTCAAGGACAAGAAATTTTAGTTCAAGGAATAAATTTAAAAGATCTGTTGTATATCATGATGACTGAAGTTAATAGCAGTTTTCAACAGTATACAATATATTGTTAAGAGAGGAAAGTAGGTTTAGGTATTCTCATCACAAATAAAAGTATATTTGGTAATGCATATGTTAAATATCTTGCTTTTGCCGTTCTAAATGTATACGCATATCAAAGCTTCACATTGTTACCTCATAAGTATATACAATTTTCCTTATTAAAAATAAATTAAGAAAATTAGCATAAGACTTTAATGTTACTGAAACTGAAAAAGAAAATACTCTTTCTTTCAGTGGTTAAAATTAGCGGTCAAGACTTTGGACTCATTCTTTGATTAGTTTGAAAGAATTAAAGTTAATATTTTATGAAGCAGAAAACTTCTTTTATGAATTTTTGAAAACTACATTGTGTTTTGAAGGTTAGGAAATCAGTAGAATTTGGTTCAACAAAATTATTTTTTTGTTGTTGTTTCTTTTATCTCCCCAAGATATACCAAGGCAAACATTAGGAAAAAACTGTCCAAGATGACTTTGAACTAATTAATTTCCTAGAGAATTACCCTATTCTTTTCTAGTATGCTGAGTCCATATAACCTAGAAAAAAAGTAGGTTTTCTTTATTTTGAGAATCAGGTTGAAATCTATATTGCTGTATATTCTTTAATGTCTTAGTTTCTTAAGGCTGCCATAGAAAAATATCACAGAGTGGCTTAAAGACAACAGAAATTTGTTCTTTCACAGTTCTGGAGGCTGTAAGTCTGAAATCAGAGTGTGGGCAAGGCCTAGTTCTAAAGGAACTAGGGAAGAATCCATGCTGTTTCTTCCTAGCTTCTGGTGAATTCCAGAAATCCACAGTATTCCTTGGCTTATAGATAACAATCAATCTTTGTCTCCATCTTTATAACAAGTTCTTTACAACCTCACATTCTCCGTGTCAGCATCCAAATTTCCCTTTCTTTTTATCAAGAACAGGATTTAGAGCTTACCCTATTCCAGCATGACTTCATTGCAAATTGATTACATCTGCAAAGATTCTATTTTCTAAATACGTTTTTCAAAATCATTTCAGTTATTTGACTACTATAGTGAAAAGGTCTTTGGACTGAAAATTAAGAATCTTGGGTTCTAATTTTGCCTGTCTATGTCATCAAGTAAATGGTGTCATTTTATGTAATGTCATGTTGAAAATAATTTAGAACTAATTTCTAGAAACTAACTTTCTAGAAATAAAAGCATGAATTTGCATATTTTTTAAACAAAGGGAAGGCATCCTGTGTTTGTTGATGAATTTAATTCATAATATACATCAGGTACAATTTGGGGAGGGGGTGGTAGGGATTGAACCCAGGGGTGCTTAACCACTGAGTTACATCCCAGCTCATTTTTATTTTTTATTTAGAGATAGGGTTTCACTAAGTTACTTAGGCCTCACCAAATTGCTGAGGCTTACTTTGACCCTGTGATCCTCCTGCCTCAGCCTCCTGAGGTGCTGCAATTACTAGCGTGTGCCACCTCACCCAGCTACAACAATTTATTTTATGTCTGAAACAGTCTTGAGTATTATTCTTCTCCTGAATACCATTGCTAATATTTTTTTTTTCCTTTAACAGCTCCTTAAGTTTGATAACATTTATCTTCCAGGGTTTCCTGGGACATAGACTGTGCATATTGAATATGCTTATTCTACATACACTATACCATATTGATTACTGCTCCCAACTCTTTTTTTTTTTCCTGGATATGCACTTTTTTTCCCCACATTTTTTATTGGTACATTGTAGTTTATATTGTACACAACCCTCTACTTATTTCTAAGGAGCCAAAAAAAGTAGTCACTGGTAAAAAGTGTCTCCTATCCTGTGAAAAGATAATTTTTATCATCTCTGTAGAACATATTAGTTCATAGTACTTTAGAATATGATTCCGCAGATGAGATTAAATACAATCTCATGTATGGCAATATAATCTTAGAATTTGGATTTTTAAAAAATATCTAAATAAACTGTATTTGTAAAATTAAATTGCTGCTATTGCACAATGTTATTAAATGGGCACCCATGGAAAGCATGGCATTGAGTATCACTTTGGTAAAAGAGGATGTTGCCTTATTGAGCCTCATTTACATACTAATTGTATTGCTTTGTTTCTGTAGCGACTATAAGCTGCCCCTTTGATGGTAGTTAGTTTGAATTCTGCATGAGTGGCCAGTTCAAATTAGCTGTCAAATAAAAGAAGTAACATGCTTAAACAAAGGTCATTTATTACACCAAAATTTATTTTAGATGTTTGTCTAATGTTATGAAAGTAAAAATGATATTTTAAAATTATTCATAGAAAGGTTTTATGAATATATACTTTGGGTTTAACAATATTTTTGAGATACCACTGTAGTTAAATGGCTGAGAAACTTGAGACTTTTTAGAAAACAATGCACATGTCTAAATGGATTTTTCTTTCATAATTCTTTTCATTTGTATTAGGATTCTGCATGACATTAGACACGTCTGCCCAAATGAGTAATATAAAAACATCAAAGACTAAATATCAAAGGCTCAGTATTTTGCTACTAATGCCAAATCTTTAAGGCTGAAAAATTGTCTTATATCTTATTGACTTGAATATCTCTAGCCTTTACTGCATAAATTCCTAATTCAATAATATAATTCATTCTTTAGTAGTGCCTTTATTAAATTGCCTTTTTTTACATTACCTACTGTGTTTGAAGCCTAAACTTGATAATGTTGATGCTAACATTTTGTTTCCAAAAATTCTGCCATGTTAATAGGCAAATAGATTAGAATGATAGGGATGGAAACTATTTTGAGGATAACACAGAATCCAAACTTCAGCCTACTAGTTATGTCCACAAAGTAAAAACCTAGAATCTTTCTTTATGTACGTCTGGCCACAAGCTTTCTTTAACTGGCCATAGTGAAGAGCAGTAGTAAAAGTAAAAGATACCTGATTTTGGAAAATATATTTTTATTATCCCTTTTCTATTGGGAAATATCATGTATAGATTTTTCTTTAACATGACTGAATATGTTTTTAAATGCAGATTATGCCTCTGGTGGAAAGTATGGCAAATTTTTAATGAATATAAGAAATTTGGATAATAAAAGCTCAGTATTACATAGATACTACATTCTCTTTATAATAAAATTATTGTACTAGATGAACATTATTATGTAACATTACTTGTGAATAACATTAAAACATTTTAAGCTTCTATAAAAATGATTTGGGACATTAAGATATCTGTTTACTTTTCACAAGTCATTAGTGTGAGTGTGTGTGTATGTGTATGTAACTAATTTTTATCAATTGAAGCAAAAAGGAATGTGTTGACCTTGTGACAAAAATTCTTCAAGTGCTGATGTAGTAATGATGATGATGTAAGTTTTTCTTTTTTGGTAGCCAGAAACTGGTTTAGAAGTTTACTAAACTACTATCACTTATTGTCACTCATACTTCTGTTAATTGCTTGCTTAAGTTAAAACTACCTTATTGTATTGATAATTGGTTATTTAAGAAGTAAAGGTTTCTCTCTGGCATACATACGATATTCGCCACTAATAGAGTTTCATAAATATTCCTAGCTTTACTCAATATCTTAATGTTGATACTAACGATTTTTTATGACAATGAAGTTGTTGCTAATTCTGTAGTAGAACTGCAAAGAAATCAACTTACACTTAAGTGTTACTGTTTGCAAAGTGCTTTGATTTTTTAATATTATCCCCATAAAGGAGGCACAGCAGGCTTTGTATAAGTCTCATTTGGGAGAAGAAAAATGAGGCTCAAGGATCAAGAACCGTGCCCCAAGTCACACAGAAATAGAGTCAAAATCTGATCCTAGGAACTTTATGTGGTGTGTACCTGTAGTCCAATCCTGCTTAGAGGGAGGATTGCTTGAGCCCAGGAGTTCAAGGCCAGCCTGGGCACCTCCTCCAAAAAAAGTTTTTTTTGTTTTGATTCTAGGTTTTGTGTTTGAAGTTCCTCTCCACTATACTGCATCCTTCTGTGTATTCATCTTCATTATCATTGTAATACTCTACAACAGTAACATAGGAATAGAACCTAAGTCCAAATTCCACACTTAAAAAAAAAAAGAAAGAAAGAAAGAAACCTCATCTATGTGCCGGGTGCTGTGCTAAGTCCTGCAGTAGTTAAAAAGACAGTTTATGCCCCTTATTTCTTCAGTAATGGGCAATAAAAAAAAAAACACATTATTGCTTATCACAGGAATAATCCATTTTTTAACATTGGTCCCCTTGTTTTATGCTTTAATATGGAAAACTTGGTTGCATGTTAATTCTGATACTAATACACAGTGAAGAAGATCACTTCTTAAAAAATATATGTGAGATCACTGCAATAGCAATAGGATGTGGATACCAAATTATTACAGTAGTAGTAGTATGTGCTAGCTAATTAAAATATATATATATATATGTGGTAGGAAG